CTCTGTCATGTAAAATGTAGTTTCCAGAGTAGTACATATCAACAAAAGCAATGATCCCTAGGTACACACCCATCAACATGTCTGAAACACCAAGATTCATAATAAATAACCAATTTGCCTTAAATAGCAGCGTTTTTTCGTAGATTATACGATAAAGTATAACTCCAACATTTCCAATTAAGGCATTTATAGCAATAATCCATAGGCACCCTCGCAATACATCATTTCTCATCAAATCCCTACACGAGGAAAATTCGTCCATTTTGGGGAAACAATTCTCTGTGGAAACAGATTCTGGTTTTAAACAACAAAATATATAGGAATCAGTTTTCATTTGTGTTAAATGAGAAAGGCGAGAAAATATATCAGGAGAAAATTTTGTCACATCGTTTTGTCTCAAATCAATAGACAAAAGAGATACAAGTCCATCAAATCCGTTTTTCTCTACAGTTGTTAGTCCATTCCCTGTTATGTTAAACGTTTCAAGGTTTTCTAAACCATTAAAAGTCCCATTGAAAAGTTTTATTATTCTAGTTCCAGACAGTTCCAAATCTTTCACATTAGGTAATGACATGAACGTATTTGGTTTGATTAATCCCAGCATCAGATTGTCTTTTAAGTTTAAGGTTACTAGTTTGGTGAGACCATAGAACGTGTAACTTTGCAGAACCTTCAATTTGTTATTGCTCAAATCTAAATGAAGGAGGTTCATTAATTGTTCAAATGAGTATGGCATAATATTGTCAATGCTGCAGTTGAACAGTTTGAAATCAGCAAGATACGTATATGCAGGAACAATCAATTCATTATTTGGAAACAATGAGCTGCTCAAATCTAATTTTCTAGCTTCAATAGACAAATCCCTGAAAATTGTTTCTACTTCTTTTTGATGACATATAAATACTAAACCTTCACATGAACACCCAATAGGACATGTGACATAACATCCAACTTCATCATCCCCATGAGGACATTGTCTAATGTTGTCACAAACCTCATCAAATAACAAACAAGTGGTTGACTGCTGACATCTATATAATCCAGGACAGGTCAAATTTCCTGAAACCAATCATATATAAAAACATCATCAAATTTGTATAAACTATCCCAAATAAAAAGATGATAATGATAAGTTGTGATTGAAAATTGAAAAGTTGATAAATTAGAAAAACCAAATGTCTAAATCTTAAGGGCATACGATACAGTAGAGATCTCTCGTTGATTTTTTCTTGAAATTTTGGTAGAAGGTCAATTTCGATGTGTACTTTTGAAATATGCAAAGAAAAATATACCTTCATGACTTACTTTTTGAGATAATTTGGTTCGAAATTTGCATATTTGAAGGAAAAACCCTGAAATTTCATAAATAAGGACTTTTAAGGAAAGTACCAATACTTTGGAACGAACAGTCATAATTTAACCGGTTTTTTTGTAAAATGTTCCCTTGATCCATGGCATCAGCATGCTGTAACAAGTAACGGTTGCAATAAATAATTATATTCTAATTTCTTTTAATACAAGTGAAATAAAGAAGTCGATAATATTTTTGCGTCTAAACAGAAGTGCAGAAAAAATTCTATCGTTGATTTTTTCTTAAAATTTTGGCGGAGCGTTTTTAAACAGAATTTGATCGATTGCAAAAGAAAAAACTGGGGGTCCATGTGCTTGTTTTTTTCAATAAAAGCAATAAACCTTAATTTTTATTGGCAAACGGGACGTTTGCCAATAAGGCGCCAAACTACGTTGGAATAAGTTTTATTCGCAACAACGTCGTGAAATCTTTCCCGCCGTTCACTACTTCGTTGTCAATTTCAGTGGTAGAGCCAAGGTGGTTTTTTTTTAAACCAATGATATTAATCATGAAAATTAATAAAGCTGGCTCCTCGTAAAATAGCATCATATTTGCCAACCCTTTATGAATTGTTACGAAACTTGGATAGAAAAAGTATTCTAGTAAATTACTTTTAGAAAAGAAATGTTCGGACACAAAACAGATATATATAATAAAAAAATTAATTTGCATCTCTGTCCGACATCATGTAGACAACACAGTTTGAACATAGTTTTAATTATTCAAAAGGCCCCGACATGACAAAATGTGCAACAATTATAAAGTAAGGGGATGATATAAAAATAAGGACATTTGGTATGATTGCAAAAGAGATAACGATCAACCATAGTTCAAATGACGAAGATAAACGCTATTAAAGGTCACCCTACGGCCTTCAACACAAAAAAAAAAAAAAAAAAAAGAAAAAGCCACACCGTATAGTCAGCTTTAAAAAGCCCCGACATGAAAATGTGAAATAATTCAAACAAGAAAACTTACGACCTACTCTATAGGCATTACATGAACACAAAATCATACCCACATTAAATCGGGTCAGCTTAGTCCATTACAGTGTAGTATAACATTTCATACAGCAGTCGATATTAGAGCATGAAATTTAATGATTCTGTATCAATAGAGAAGTTACCTAAGCTTGTCTTCAGGGTATTTTTTTTTTATTACGGTACATATAATCATTGAATTACTTGTCTGTATTATACCTTCAATCTAGGAGTGAGTGCAACCACATTGTTTGTCCGGTCCAACAAATATTTTGTTTCTTATCTGAGAAACTACTTTACAAAAAGACTTCGTATTTGGTCAGTAACTTAACATCAATGAGTTGCAACTCTGGTCTGTCAAATACCTAATTCCTGTATGCCGATTTTTCTCTCTCAATATGTACATCGAGGATATGCTTAGCACATCAACGGGTGCGTTTTTGTTTTTGGTCTTTAATACGGGGCTTATAACTGAGTCATTTTAACTGACAATTCTTCTTCATACACTTATATATTCCACGGGTTAAATTCTAAAAATGCCGTTAAACTGTTTTTTTTTTTTTTGTGTAGTTGGGTTTCTCTCTCATCGACGTCTTATGTTTTTCATATCTCTTATTCATTTCCTATATGAAATAACAGACATACTAAATTAAGAATGTGGATTTGATTTTTTTCCCCTTCGAGGTTAATATTGTTGACTTTCTTATTAATGAATATATATAACAATTCACGTGATTTGGCCGATTTTCATTGCAGGTACTTTTTTCTAATTCGCGCAATCGGGATTATGACATCAGTGGATTTCCGCAAATGTGACTACATCTAAAGCGACGTCGCGAAATGTAATCGTTCTTATTAGAAACATCGCGAAATTACAACGTTCTGATTAACAACGTCGCGAAAACAACACAAAAAGTTTTGAAAACGTTATTATCTGCCCCTGCTACTGTATCGTATGCCCTTAAGTTTCCATTCTCTTTCAGAAAAGTTGACATTTGAAGGTTTTGGCTCTGTTTATATCCTCTGAACGATCGATGCTTCCCTACTGAAATTGATATCATACCTTTGTTCATATTATTATTAAAACAAATTTATTGTAGATTTTGAGAAAGAACATGTTATTTTATAAGCATTTTTATCTGTAATGATTACCCTATCATAAAAATGTAAAGTATCTTTTGAAACGGAAAAGTGATAACACAATTTAGACGAGAGTCAATAGTACATTCATTTGTTTCGAGAATACTTGCATTGGCTTGTGAATATAGATATTAGCTCCCTTATAATTCCTTAGCTTTATGTATTCGTTTACCGGAAGCTGATGAGCGATGGATGTGAAAACGAAAAAACGCATGTAAAGCAGTTAATCCCTTATTCCGTAGCGCGATCAAATAAAGTGCAACAGAATCTGATGAAGGTAAAAGCTTTGCAGTTACAACAGAGTAACCGAATTAAATTGCGGGCCTTTTAAGGAGTCTTTTTAGATCATTCCTGAATCTAAATTTTGTCGTTTTCGGTTATTCTTATGTTTTTGTTTTTTGTTTTATCAACTCTTCAAATTTTGTCTTTGCTTTTTTCTTTTCAGACATTTTGACCTCGAGCATCACTGAAGAGACATTAATTGTCAAAATGGGCATCTGGTGCAGTACATTTGGTACCGAGTATGTTATTGACTGATATTTTCAAATTTCTCTTTATCATACAGCTAAGAATATTTCTTTCTAAATTTCTTAGCTGTATAATAAAGAGACGGTTTTATAGGTTCTGTTAAGCCATTTCTAGATTTCACGCTTTTGAAGGTTTTTGGATGCGTCAACTTTTGGTCTCGAGCATCTTGTTAACTATGAAAATAAAGAGATGTTGAATGATTGCATATGAGAGAACTATCCATCAGAAAAATACGGACGAGGATGAAACTTAAGGGTACCGTACAGCCTTCAGCAATGATCAAAATCCGTATCGTAAAGTAAGCTACAAAAGGCTCCTGCGGGACAAAATATGAAACAATTTAAAAGAGAAAACCAAAGGACTATTTCATGAAAAAACAATCGTCGAAAAAAAAATATGGCAAATAGCAGCGAATGACTTGGGACAAGTACAAACATGATGTGGTGGGGTTAAACATGTTTGTGAGTGCTCAATCCTCAACTTACCTGGAATATTAGTGTAACTAAACTGGGACATTAATGTAATGGCACAACTCAAGAACAAACTATGAGAATCAGTTACAAAAGACATGACTAATCAAATTGGCACTTAGCAAACAAAAACTCAATCAACAGAAAAAAAATACACACGGTACCGACTTTAGTGTACACGCAGTTTCTAAAATAAATCTATTTCGAAACCAATTCCAACTAATAAATAAACCATGCTTCTCTAAACTGAAATTTCAATAACTACACATCCAAAAGATTTTTTGTAAAGGCGTGTCAAACAGTCCTAGAAAAAACTTGCATTGTCCAATGCCAAAATATTAACATCAACGGGAATGTTCATAATTAAACAGCTAAATGTTTAGTTATGTTTTAATTGATTAAAAACAAAAACAATGTTAGCATCGATGAAGACAATATAGCTATAGTCTGATGATACTTATCCAAGAAATAGCGTGTGCATTAGGATGAAAACAACTTATTATGTCAAGAAGACTTATAATCCATAGTTACCACAAAATAATTCATCATCGCCATGGGTGCAATGTTTTCTGCCGTCACAAAGTAAGCTCGATGAAATGCAGTGACCCTTTTTGCATTTGAAGAATCCTGGCTGGCAAATCTCTTTTTCTACAAAAAAATTTATTTTATAAAAGTGTATTTTTGGGGGGATTGAAGAAAGATTCGCAGATTTATAGTTTGAAACAAGAATGAAATGTTTTCTGCAATTAAACACAAGATCATTCAATTATAGACAGTTGTCCATTCGATACATAGAACAATAAATCGTACCAAGTTTTAGTAAAAAATGAAAACAACACGTTACAAATTGCATATGTCCGAAGCGCTTTTCTGTCTTATTTGTTTTTCGTTTATTGTTTTGTCTTTCATATTTGGTTTTCGGTTATTGTTTTATCATGAAAAAGAGAATGCGAAGAACTACATATTATTGTTTCTGTTGAGATATATTTCTTTGAAGTTTTGCTGTAAAGCCTCTTCTTTTGATTCAATTTTGGATTTCAAAGCATACCTCATCACAATATTACTGAAAGCCATTTTGTACTGTAGAATGATTTTGGTGACGTTTAGGTATGCAGTAAGTTAAACGGTTGGAGGTTAAGATCGTCCTTTTTGATGTTAATACCAAGGGAGAAAAGAGCGGATTTATGATTTTAAAAACATCTCCACTTTCATGAATGATTTAGGGGCATATGTAAGATTCCCAGTTTTGCTTTGAATTTTAAGTTCTTTAATGAGACATTCCAAATAATAATTTTTGCATCTAAAACAATATTGCTTGAAGCTTTGTCTGCTGAAACAATAAACAGATTTGTCTCGAAGAGAGGATAAAACAACCACAACCTCGGGCTTCTTGAAAGGATAAGAAAACCATGTGCTAATTATACATCGTATATTTTGAATACGCTTCTAAATGCTTGACCGAACAGCTTCGATTCATTCATACACAGTGTCTAGTTTTGTCTCATCAGTTTGTTAGTCAGTCGTAACATTTCATTTTCAAGCTAAACAATAAACAAGCTGCACATGAGTTTTTCTTTTTCCTGAATTCCAACATCCAAAATAAGTGCCAATATAAATGGTATTTATGTCTTACAACGTCCTTGTTGTCATAGTTCCATATATAAAATATATTACCTTACTGTACTAACGCTCATGTTGAATCAAACCAAGACCAAATACTCAAAAGTTTCAAATCAAATTTATTTTCCCCTATTGTTCTATACCATTTCATTCATATTTGACGTTCTCTTTTTGATTTTATGCATTTCAAAACATTATGTGCAAATTTGAAATACTTCTCACACACTTTATTTATTTTGGCCAAAACCACCCCTTTATGCGCCCACTTTTTTTTAGGTTGAAAATCGGATGAAAACCCTATAAAAAAAAATATAGATTAAAGAACCTTTACATATGTTCAAACTCGGTACAATATCACAATAAAAAGATGGTGGCTTTGTAACTCGACTCCAGTCGTAGGTACCGAACAGTTTACGTGTAAACTGGGGGACTATTCTTAATCATTTGAACAAGAGAGGTGGAAGATACCAAAGTGATATACATACAATTAGTCGAAGAAACCAGACAGATTCTGCTCCATATGTGAGGTGAGTGTTTTTTTAATACAATTTGTTTTTCTTACCACAGTGCTGAAGATGAGTCATATCTCTACAACCATTTACATCACTTCTTTCATTTACACGCATAATGCAATGATCTGTATTGTTATACAACTTTCCATCAGAACAAAGGGACTGGCTACTTGAAACATTTTTCGAAATTTCTGACAAATAAATATATGAAAATGTAGTTAACCGATGTACAAATCTTATAAATCAATTAAAAAGATAAATGAAGGATACAAACAAAAAGTGAGGGACTCCAAGAAAACAAAGATGACATCATAAGTCACACTATAAACGCATTCATCTAAGAGGATGAAGCACAAATTAAATAGCGGCGTACGAATTACGTATCTAACTGACACAAAAAGAGACATTACAAGAATGCATATGACTTTAAACAGGAGAAGATGGCAGACATTATCAATTAAATTTCGTGCCACACGTTAACATATACATTTTTTAATTGAATATCTTAAGTATGGTGTTTTTTTCGCAAACATCAGAAACGATAATAGAGGTTTAAAATTTTTTTCAGCTAACACATTTTTACATATAATCATGCTGTCTGTTCTTTATAGTTTACCTGATTTACAAACAACAGGTCCAACTGTCACCTCATAAAACCCCTCGTCACTGAAAGATTTATGTGGAACATCATAACTATAAAAAGGAAGTCTATCGGGATTAGAAAGTACTAGAGTATCAGTAAACACTCTATTGACATCTGCTTGACTCCAGTCCATTCCTCCAGTACAATGGCAACTACAGAACAAGTAAACTAATGTGATGATGATAATGGAATAAATTTTGTTTGAAACAGTTTCATATAGTGTCTATACGGCATGAATTGTAAGGTGTTATATTGTGCAATATTGAATTAGCTTTTTGTCTGACTATCAAATACTTGCATTTCTATTGACTTTCAAATATATAGTAAGATTACGTTGAATTTATCATGTTCAATTATTTATGTGTTTTAAACAGTGTTATGATAAGGAACATATAAAAAAGGTTATAAATGTAAAGCATAAAATGTGATCATTAGAGACGGAAAAAAACAAATATACTAAACTTCAAGAGCTCAAAGAAACTCGATAAAAAAAACTGCTTTTTTACTACAAAAATCTGACACAATACCGTTTACCACAAACAGCTGATATTTATCACTATTAAAGTGATTCGACATGTGTCGAAACCATTTCTACATAAACTTTCATCAGGGCTTACAGTTCGAATAACAAGCACAAGCAGTAGATGGTGGTAAACAGTGTAAAAGTTTTCTGAAATTAATAGATACATTCGTAAAAAAATTACTTTGACAAAGTGAGTAAAATGCTTGGGTTTTGTATAAATGAAGCGACTCTGATGACTACGTGAATGATGGTACGTTGTTCATCAGAATTAATTTTAGTTCATATACTTGCCTTTTATTGCATGCCTCAACAACCATGACAACAGATTCCGTATACTCTCCAGAGTCATCAGAAGATATAGCGTCGTGGTAATAGCATGTTAGTTTCACATTTTGTGAACACTGGTGGTTGTCTTTCTTCATTACACTCTTTATCATATCCCCAGGAAAACTATATACTTTCTGAACTTTTTTATAACTACCGAAGCCGGAGAATATGGCAACATAATTATAATACAAGAATGTTGAGACCAGTAGTGTATTGCCTTGATCATTGAATTCACAGTATACCAAATATGTATCTGAAATAAACAAAAATTGAAATGACATCCTCCCGTATTGTAACTTGTTTGAATTATTTTTAAACTTTACTTTATAAAACCAAAAGTTCTTTAACCACAATAATGATATATTTGTTAAATAATTTTTGGATGCAACATACTAGAAAAGAAAAACACACGAAAAACACACAAGTAACTTAACAATATACATTATACTTTAAAAATGACTTTACAATGCAAATTAAACGTATAATGAACAGCTATTTATACCTTAAAAGAATCATTTCGATAAACATTGTACTTAAAAAAAGGAGTAATAATAATTTGGAGTGTCAAATACCGTTTATAAGGCGATAACGTTATTTGTGTACAAACTATACGATTGTCTGTGCGTACGTCGGTATTATATTTGGAAGCATAGTTAAGACAGTTAGCTTAAAATGGCAATTTTATAAAATAAAATTACATTTATCTACATATGTTTTATTATAGTGGGTACAAACTCTTTCCAAATATTGTTTTTTTGGTGAAGATCATAAAGATTTTATTCCGTACGATTTCAATAATTACTCTTTATTTCTAAAACATTTTTACATTTACCTTCAGACGAAAAAATCTGAAAAATGGTAAACTTCTTGGTTCCATGTTTTCTTATTTGATAAAAAAAATGACTACATTTCTAAACGACCCATAATAATCAAGCGGATAAATGGACAGACGCATGGAAAATTTCTACCTTCATAAAGATTTTTTTTTCAATAATCAATGACAGGGTAACGTTTTATTTATGTTTTATTTTGCCTTGTACTCTTATTATTGTCTTTTCTCTTCATTCTGTGTGTGTTTTAGGGTATCTATATCGTCAAAATGCAAAAAAGCCATATACATTTGTTATGTCCATTTGACTGCCTCGCGTTTGTTTTAATTACATTTCTAATCTGGAAGTCATTGTATGTTTACTACATTTCGCCAGTTTACGAATATTTTTGGAACGTAAAAATGAATTGCTTTTTATAAAAGTTGCATTTCTTTGTATGACCTCAAAATCCTTGATTAAATACATGTGCAAGTGACATGTTACCATTAACCCCATAATTTAGCGTCGACTAAACACTACACCAAAATGAGCTACATTTCTGTTTGTAACATTAATAATGAAGATGCGCGGTAGACGTCAATGAAAGAATAAGCGATGAGAAATTCATAATTTGGTTATGCCTCACATAATAATGACTTGTATTATATCAATTAATTGAGCTGTAAATAAAAGTCAGATACAATCGGTAAGATATTTGATCTTTTGGACCATTAACTGGGAACAGACCATCGCTTTATTTGCAGTGCAATAATTTATTAGCATTTCAGTGTCAGCCAAGACAAAGGTTGATGTGAGAATTCATCGTTACAAATATGTTTCATAAAATGTTAGCATAGATTGATAAGTATTTTTAAATTTTGGCTAAAGGTTTAAGACAATAATGATATATACACATCTGAGCAATTGCTTTCAACCTTCATTTTCTTGTAACGCTGTAATGCTTTGGGATGTGAGTTACTTCTTAGTAACGAAAGGAAAATTTAATATTTGTTTATTAATAATTGTCACTTCCTTTACGCCCAGTGGCAATTTTTTATTCAATTTTTGGTATGCGGATTTGCAAAAAGTTTGTCACTCAGTGAAATCTCACTCGACAATAAATATATTTGGATGATTTTGCTGGTGCAGATTCAAAGCAAGTCAGAAAAAGTTTTCATTGAATTGAAACATTAACTAGATTCATGTGGTTCTGATGAATCAAGTCACAAACCCGCTTCCCCGAGCACGAAAACAGAGCTCCTAGGCATAATATGCGGTATAGTAGCTTTAACTTTAGAAACATCACCAAACAAACTTGATGATATAAAATATGCATGATAGACTTGGTATCTAAACATAAGTTAAAATAAGAGATATCCAGTTTCTTGTGGGGAAATAGAATATTGCAGTTTCTTGCGTGAGAACACATAGATTGTTTATGTCAAGATTATTAAATTGGTAAACAATTGAGAGTGGACAGAAATACCAAAAATTGGTAAAAAGGTTTTTTTTGTGGTAAATTTTTGGACATGAAGTACATGTATCTACTTTGGTTATTGAAGAATTGAGAAAGTCAGATTTTGATTTTTTTCTTGTGCTTGTCTTACTGGTTGTTGATCGTGGAATAAAAGACACAAGGAGTTTCAAAGATTTATTATTGAATATTTAATCTTGAATATTAATGTGCTAGAGCTTTTTTTGGCTGTTGTAGTTAAGTCTAAACACTGGGTATATAACGTTTGACATAAAATAATCAAATTTTTCTACAACAAACCCTCTAAAGACAAGGTCGATGAAAACTAGTGATTTATATATGCAGAACTGTCTTTGAGAATCACGTTTCATTGCAGCTGTGAATCAATTCGAAGTAAAGACAGTACATGTAAGTATTTGTGATAATAGCATATCAGACTTTTTTTTTATCCAGATGGCATTTAGATAGAAAAAATATCATTGAATTTTTTGATTATTCAAAGATCATCAAGCAACATTAAGTGAAATAACAGTTTTAAACAAAGCTTTTTGTTTTCTAAATTTGCACATGGATGGTGATTTATTGTGTATATGTTATTTTCAGAAATTGATTTGGCTGTTTTAGAATATGATGTGCATGTATCCATAAGGTCAGCTTTTGCACAAGGCACAATTAATCTAGATCATTTGTAATTTAGGTAAAAGTACTTATGCTATGAGTGTTTATTTTTGTTTTCTTTTTTTTTCTAATGGCGCGTAAAACGAATCTAGTTACTGATAGTTTTTCTGTTTTTAATGGTTAAATTAAGCAATTAAAGTGAGGGGAAAGTGTTGGGTAGAACAATATAGTCATTGTTATTTTTGAGTAGTCGAAGACCATACAATTTGGCCAGCGTGTTTTGAAAATTCCCTTAATTGATAATAAGACATCTTGTTTATGTCTTTTAGCAGTTAACATGAACATGTGTGGACTGGTATTGGCTTTGGAGGATTCTCAAGCTTTCTTATTCATGGATAAATATGGGTGAGTACCAGTAGCTTTTAACTAGTTTAACAGTTCTATACAAAGATGGATTATTAAGTCTGGTCGGGATTCCTGTTTATATTCAACACATTATTGTTTACTGGGAGGTGCCACGTTTAGTTTCCAGTCAAAAGTGCCTTCAAAACTAATCAAAACGACTGTGCACTCCTTGACTTAACTTATTGTTCTTTCTTGTAAAGAAGTATGTAATCCTTTAAGGATGTTGTCTATGCAAGGAAATAAGTTATTCGTTGGAAACTACGGATTAAATCGTGCAAAGAAGTAGTTCATCCTTTGGAGTTTCCTTGTCGAAGCAAAGAAAGCAGTACCTCTTAAGAATAGTATAATTCAATGATTTTAAGTAAAGTATGATTAAATGCACGTACAAACTGTTTTTTTGTTTTGGTGCGTTTTTGTGCGCATTTTATTTGAAATTATTTATTGCACACCTTTTGTAGTGTATAATTTAGTGTGTCATTGTATGTCTAGGTTGTAGTGTGTTGTATTATGTTTAATTCATATTGTATTAGATATGTATTTGTATGTTAACTTTACACGTAATTCAACAAGTTATTCAGTTTTAATTATTTCTTGTCTTGGTTATCCAGTCTAACCGTAATTAATTGAAATTTCACATGACATTAAATAAATTTCCAGTTATTCTGTATTTGTTCAGCCCTATTTTGAATCTACATTTGTTATTACATTATACGCAAATCATATGACATTCACTTGATTATGCACCGAATAAGTCGGGTAGACTTTTTTGGGGGGAAAGTTCTGTTACTCAACCATAAGTTCGCTGCTGAAATGTCCCCCAAAATCAAATAAATTGTAGAAATGGGCTGCTTTGGAGAAAAAAAACTGGTGGCGAATCAAAACTATAGGTTTATCATATGAAACGTATCGGAAAAAAAATGAAAGAAAATGTAGTAGATAAATGGCAATAAATTGAAATATGTTTTATTCAAAACTATGGTGGC